AATAGATAAGGCCAAACCTCTTTAGTGGAAGCCTGCCCATCAGAGCCCCTGGTACCAAAACCAAGGGGACCGAATGATAGCATGACCTAGGACAAAGACCACTGTTTGAGCCCTCAAAGCCTCCTGTACTCTTGGCTTGGAGAGGTCCAAGGCACTGTCAGAGCCTATAGTCAAGGGAATAGGCCTCTTAGTCCATGGTACCTGGATGTTGAGAGGAATGAAGGAGACCAGGCTGTAGTCTTCAATAAGCTGCACCAATTTCTCATTGAGCTGACGATAGTGGCGGAAGAAAGGGTCAGAAGCCAGGTGGTCAAGCAAGTAGGAGAGGTCCAGGACCTCTGTGTAGTAGTCCAGGTTGAAGGCTAAGGAGAGAAACCAGTCAGGAACAGGTGGCATCAGGCTAAAGCCCCAAGGACAGAAACCATTATTTTTTCTTCCTTCCTCTGCCTTCATTCTCTCACTGGCTGGTTCTGTCATTTACTAGCTCTATGGACAGATACCCACCTCATGGGGCTGCTATGAGAATTAAATGCTATGAACCTTGTGCCTGGTACAAAGAAGTGCTTGATCAGTGGTAGCAAATAATGATACTGAACATGTACCAAGTACAGTGCTTGGTGCCGCCCTCATGAAGCTCAGAGTCAGGTAGTACCCCCAGGACCCAGCACACACTGTAAGGACTTTAGCAGGGTGGCATCTGGGTAAATCTCTTTCCCTTTCTGGGCCAGTTCCTTCTTAATGTAAAACGAGCAAACCAAACTAGATGACTCTGGGGTTTCTGACTCAGTTCTATGTCTACAAACTTCCCATCAGAGAAGTAAAGTGGGCTTGCACTGTCCATTTCAGCCTGGAAAACTCAAGTGGTTGGGCTACTCAGCAGGTGAGCCGGGGAAACAGGCTGTCAGAGATTGATCCACTCACTTGTGTGCTCCGACTTCCATGCTCTAATCAGCTCTAATTAGAAACTGACACCACTACAAGGAAGAATGTCCTGACATTCCAACAAACTTCTTGGGTTGCTTGACAGGTAGGTTTCTCAATGAGAATTAAGAAACTGGAGCCAGGTACACTTGGGTTTAGATTTCACCTCAGCTAACATACTAGCTGTGTGATTCATGTAAGGCCTCAATGGCTTCATCTGATCTGCTTACCAGCCTTTTGTGAGGATGCCTATCAAGAGTCAGAGCTAGGAAGGTTAAAGACCACCATGTAGCTGTTTCCTCCACCTGGTGGAGGCTGTGAAGGGGGTGAGCAGCTTTGGATGACTACAAATTTGCACATAGGTAAAATGGGGCTTCTGGGCTTGCCAAGAGATGGACCAGGACTCTGACCAGGAAGTGCTGACATCCCTCCATGTCCTGCCTTCGCTGGACAAGGCCCTTACAATCACTCTCCCAATGACTTCCCTTACTGCTCACTTCAGCTGTTCTTTGTGGCTAGAGATGCTATTTAGGGAACTGATGCCCCAGCTCAGCAGAGCACTAATACTGCAGGAAAGAAATGCTGGCCATAGGGTCCTTATTCAACTCCCCTGCCTCAGCAGCCTGCTTTCCCCTCAATCTTCTCCACCTTATCAAATAGCACCCTCATTTGTACACTGGCTCAGTCAGAAACCTGAGTGTCATTCTTAATTTCTCTGTCTCCAGGTCCAATGCACAAACAAACCCTACTTCTTTTTTTAAAAATATATTTTATTGATTTCTTACAGAGAGGAAGGGAGAGGAATAGAGAGCTAGAAACATCGATCAGCTGCCTCCTGCACACTCCCCACTGGGTATGCGCCCGCAACCAAGGTACATGCCCTTGACCGGAATCGAACCTGGGACCCTTCAGTCCGCAGGCCGATGCTCTGTCCATTGAGCCAAACCGGTTAGGGCCAAATCCTATTTCTTGAGCAAGTTTTGAATCTCATTTTCTCCATTCCCACCACCACTGCTGTTGGGGTCCATCCCCAGCAGGTCCAGGGGTTCCCATAGGTGTGGATGGAGTCGGTGAAGAAGGAAGGACACGGAGGCAGCGTTCAGTTGATCATCATAGGGAGGTTCTCTCTCCAGGATCTCCAGCCAAGTTCTGTCTTTTTTTTCCTGTTCTACTTTTTTATTAACATGACTTTTTATTTTTTTTTAAATTTAGCTGGGCACTGAGAGTACAGTGACCACCAGATACCAACCTTCCCTCATGAGACAGGCCTCAGTCAAACATGACGACAGTGAAGCTGTTCTACGTTTTTATTAACATGACTTTTTAAAAACAAGCATCCATACCAGTGCTGGGGCTGAGAGCGGGAGGAGAGGGGCGGGGGGATCGGGCACAAGGAAGGAGTTCTGCTTTATTGGTAATAAAGCTCCAGGTTCATCCCATCATGGATTTCATAGTCGCCCAGAGAAACGTGGTCCTTAAAGATCGTGTACCACTTCTTCAGCACGATCTTGTTCCAATGGGTTATACCAGTTGATTTTAATCCTATCAATTCTATTCCAAAGGTTAGGGCATTTCTTATCTCCATTCCAAGGTTACTCTATTGTTCTATTAAGCTACAAGGGAGTAACTGAAAGAGATCATCCTAAGTAAAGATTATGTAGCTTAAGCGTGATTGTTCGTAGTTAAAGTGATTAATTACCCGCGTGGCACTTAGTTAAGGGGTTTTATTCCCTCCCTAACTCCAGGGAAAAATCCTCACCTGGGAAACAACCTTTCTCGGGGAGGTGGTCCTGTTTAAAACACATAGTGTTAAGAGGGGGAGCAAACATATGCCATATACGCCAGGTCCCTTGAAACATAAGCTATGCAGATGTTTCTTCCCTGCAGCAACTGTGTCAAGCAGCAAGGGTGGACCGGCTTCCGACACACTGCTTGGGCTGCTACAAAAATACAAAAGGAGCTGTTTTTATTCTTGCCCCTTTCAATTCATTCACAAAGCAGCCAGAATGACCTTTTCAGTTCGTGTTATTCCCTTGCTTAATAATCATCAATGACTTGCCTCTGTGTTTAAATAGTTCAAGTTTTGGCCCCTGCCAACCTCTCTGTCCTCATTTCCTACCACCCTTCCCCTAAACACTGTCTCAGCTACCCTGTCCCCACCTTCCTTGGAAACAAAAAACTCTTTGCTACCTAAGGGCCTTTACTCACTACTAGTCCCTCTGCTTGGAACAGTTCGCCCTTAGCTGGCTCCTCACCATTCAGTTCTCAGCTCAGATGGCACTGCTCACTCCCCACCACTCACTGTCCCATCATTTCGTTTTAATTCCTTCATAATACACATTACCATCTATAGTTTTCTTGTCCCCAAAACCCAGAACAGTAAATGGAACAAAATAAATGGGTAGGGGTCAGCACCTGACTGTGGCTATGATCACCAGGCCATGCATGGTCCCTGGAGGAAACTTCCTTCACCTGAGATCTCTGCTTCACTCCAGCCCAGCCACTGGCCTACACCTTGCCTGGCCCAGATAGGAGCACTTACCCAGCTTCCCATAGTGCTCAATGAGGTCCATCTTGGAGAGGAGGTTGACGTGGGGCAGCTCTACATGCAGCATGGTGGCCAGGGAGGTACACAGTACTGAAATGAACTTGGCGGGGTCTGTGCAGTAGTGAGAATCTACCAGGTGGACAGCAGTCAGCTGGGAGGGGAGGGAGAGACAGGATGAGAGTGGCCTGAGGAGGCAGGGAACATCAGGGCCTATATCTCTCCCCCATCAGATCAGGGGTGCCTGAGGACAGAGTGCCAGTCTTCCCCATTAGTCTTTTCCTTCTGTTTCATTCTAATGCCGCACTCATTTCCTTCTCCCAGGAGATATGGGCATTTTTACTTAGAAGATGCCTTGGGCTGAGCCTCCCAGTGGGCAACTGGTTCAATTCCCACTACATCTGACTCCAATCTTTCACTTACTTTTGCCCCCAACTCACAACAACAATCGCCATGCTGTTTTCCACATAACTCCTTCCATATTTCTAATAATCCCAAATTGGGTGCTAACACATCCATTTACAGATGAGAAAACTGAGATTCAGAAAGATAAACTGACTTGCCCAGGATCACACAGTGAGTCAGTGGCAGAGCCAGAATTCGAAATTATACCAGTTATAGTCCAAAGCAACTCTGCCCTTGCCTCGCTGTGTGTGGCATGCCCTCCCTGTCTTAGTTCCTTCATCTGCAAAATGGGCCGGCCCGACCCAAGACGCACCCTGAGGTCCCACTGGGCCATCTGGGAGAAGATGCTGCGCAAGGAGCCATGGTGCGTGCAGAGCTCCACTTGGCCTGGGCAGTCGAAGAGGAAGTAATGGCCGCGGAGGGGGTCAAGCTTGGCACGCAGCCAGTCCAGATTGGCCTCCAGGTACTCCATGCAGTACAGCAGGCCGCCGTTGGGCCCCAGCCGCAGGGCGTCCATCACGTCGCTCAAACCCACCAGCTCGCTCACGTCCACGGCGCACTCGTACGGCAGCCCCTCGTTGGCCGGGTCCAAGTTCACTACCGCCACGCGCCGGCCCATCGCACGCAGGAACTCGCTCATGCCCAGGCAATATGTGGTCTTTCCCGAGCCCGGCGGGCCGATCACAGCCTGTCCAAAGGCCGGCGTCCGAGCGGCCCCCGCCATGGGTGGCACTCGGCCCCGTGCGCAGCAGGAAAGCTCGGCGGGGAAACAAGGCGGGCGACGCGCCAGAGACAAGAGCCGAGGGCGTCGGGATTCCCGACGTGCTCTTTGGGGGGTGGTGCGGTGGCGGTGCCCCGGGGTTGCCTACGGTGGACCAGCAGGAAGCCGGGCAACGCAGAGTGAACAGCCCGGTACTGAGCGCACCAGCAACTTCCGGAAGACGTCGGAAATGACAGGGTCCCGGAGAGGAAGTCCCGCCCTCAGGGTGACGACACAGCTTAGCGCCAAAGGTCGTGGCGGCGCGCAGCATTTCACCAGCAGGGAGGAGATGGGTTGGGGTATGGGGCAAGGAAACTTTTTCGGGATTTACCCAACCTTTCTCTAGGCCCAAATTAGAAGAGAAAGAAATCCGGTCATAAACTTCTTTATTCTACCATTCGATCGCAGATCCGGACCACCTCCCGCTGATTCTCTGCCGTCTAGTCCCAGCCGGTCAGGGGGAGAGGCAGTGGAAGGCCCGCCCCAAGACCGTCTCTTCCGAGCACCACAAATCCTCTTCTCTTCCAGGTCCCTTTCTCATTCTTTCTGACCTTCAAGGTGACACCACCCAAAGAAGGCTGTGTTGATAACCTCAGTCAATCCAGCTTTTCAAGGTACTGGGGGAGGTGACAGGGGCAAGCCCAAACGGACCAGGATTAGGAGATCAACTAAGAGCGGTCATTAAGTCCTAATATCAAAGGGGAGGATAGGGGGCTTTTTTGAAAAAATGCCCCTGAGGTAGAGAGCCAGAAGGCAAGTTCAGAACAAAGCACCCTGAAGGAGCGCGGCAAGTTGCTGCTCCCAGACTTCTTCCTGCTTCGGTGGGAGAAAAGGCCAGGGCAGTAATGAGTGATCCTGACGAAGGAAGTCCCTGAACTCGTCACTCAGGCTCTGAGAAGCTGTCAAAGGCAGAGCTGGAACCCCTCACAAAGGTCATATCTGTCCGAAACTTCATGCTGGTGGGTGGCTGGCGTCGGAGCAGCAACTCCCCTTGGTCCTGGGGCAGAGGTTCATCATAGATGGTGGAGATGAGTCCCAAACCAGTTCTGCGGGGCCTCTTCATTTGCCCAAATGGCTGTAGCTTCTCTCCGTGGTACCTGGATTAAAAAAGGCTCTCGGTGAGAGGGCTGCTCTCAAACCCCAGTTAAGGGTGTTGGGAAAGGACAGGGAAATAGCTACTGCATATCTGGTTTGTCCCCAAGACAGAGCCTTTAAATCTGGACTTTTGCTTTATCCGTTCATTGACAGTGCCAGTAACCAGGGGCCTCAATGCTTTCATTTTAAATAGTGCACAAAGTTTAGAACAACTGTCACCACTCCGTAACTTACAATCACTCCCCAAAGGCAATCATCAAGTCCAAACTCCTCAGACTGGGAGTAATGACCCCACCAGGAGATCCAGACCTATTTTTTCCTTCTAACTCTACTTTAAAGTTCACTCTCTAGGAATCTCAAAGCCACCTCAAAGCCACCCCAAAGCCAGAGGAAAGGGGGAACCAGGGTACAGCTGAAAAGCTAGCTTGGACCCCCAGGGAAATCCTTGTCATACTCACCCCAGTCCACGCTTACATCTGGGGTGCTGGCCATCATTATCCAGGGCCTCAGGCACCCCTGAGCACTGGCTTCCCAGGCCCTGGCCTTCAGCCCAGCCCTGTCGCTCCATCACCTTCCGCCCAATGCCCTGCGGAGGGAAGGGAAAAGACTCAAGAGAGAGCTCTTATGGAGGGCAGAGGCAGGGAGGAAGAGAAAGAATGGGGTAGAGAAGGAAAAGAGAGGTCAATGGATTGGGCATAATCCTCACCTTGGTGTGGCGCTCAAAGGTGCCCACCTGGCATTCAGTCACGGAGCCATCCTCCTGGCCATCACGGAGTCTCCGTTCCAGGCGCATTTGGACAGAGTCTCGGGCATCCTTGTCTCCACCATCTGAGGAAGCAGAGCCCAGTTTGCAGAAGGAGGGAAATCAGGTGTCTAAGATCTCACAAGATTTACATATTCATCTTTATGATGATTTTATTACCTTATAATTCTTTGTCATTAGACTGGGAGCTTACCAAGAATAGGAACCATGGTTCTCCAATCTTACAAATGAGAAAATTATGGTGCAGAAAAGTCATAGAGCCAACAGAGACAGATTTAGAGCCCAGGTCTTCCCCTCCTCTCCCTACCCAGGTCATTTTTGACTCCAGAATCAATTCTTCACCAGAGCATGAGCTACCAATGCCCACGATTCCAGGGTCTGCCCACCAGAAGCAGAGTTCCCTGAGGGCTATCCCTACTTGTCCTTGCTTCACAAAGAAAGAAAAAGGCTCTGCCTACAACCAGCACTTAAGGCACTCAACTAGAGATATCTTGAGAGGAACCATCTCAGTGAGCTACCCCAAGGAACTGATGTTCTGTCTTAGCCTTTGCTAAGCAAGTCTGATAAAGTGTCACTGCAAGACCACCAGTTCCACCTCCCAGTAACAAAACCCCTGGCCCAGTACCTCTGTCGTAGTACACGCTCATGTCCACATCCCAGTCATCGGCTGTCTGTTCATCAAAGTCTGCAGGTATAAAAGCATCAAGAAGAGTGAGCTTAAGGACTCTCAGTTCTGTTGAGAGTTAAATCTAGGCTTAGACATATGTTCTAGAACTTGGGGCTTTTGATAGTAGTTTTAAATCTCTCGTCTGGGAGGGTCATTCAGAATTGTGGGAGGGCACTTTCCACTCTACTGATCCCCCCACCCCTAAAAAGGATGACTGGTCTCATATACAGTCAAGGTTAGCTACTTTCCTAGCCTTTTATTGGGCCCACTGTCACTCTTTATGCCCTGTGGAACATAAAGCCCAGAGCAAATGCAACAGGGAACACTCCTGCCCTTGTCTGGTGCTAGCATTACCTCCTTCTTCCTCCTGCCAGTACTGAGCATCTGTGTAGAACACCAGGCCAGAGCCGCCCTTCTCCCACTTGAGCTCGATCTCCTCCTCAAAGAGCCGCTCAGTGGTACGCTCCTGCCTAGTCACATCCTCATGCAGCGCTTCATGCCGTTCCCACTCCTCACAACGGTCATCGTCCTGGAAAAAGGGGAGAGGTGACATGCCTGTTTAGCTTCCTGACCTTATGCCCACAAGGAGGGCAGCTCAAGGTACAGGAGGCCCATGAGATGGGCCCTCAGCATCATTCCTCCAAATCTTCCCAAGATGCAACACATAGTAGGCCCTTGAGGTCTTGACCAACACATCTCTCCATCCGTTTCTCAACATGGCTCTTTCCCCTGACAAACCTGATTCACTCTTATTTCTGTGTTTTTGGTCATACTGTTCCCCCTGCCTGAAATATCTGCTCTTCTCTCTCACCACCTTCTCTTTACTTGGTAAAATCCTCCTCATCCCTCAAGCTCTACAGCCTACATGGAGCTGGCCACACTGGCCCACAGCAGTCTCACTGGTCTCTGAACTGTTTTAATTGGTACCCCTGTTTAGGTCTTTATACATGTTGTACTTTATACATGTAAGTACAACATTCATGCCCTGGGGGGCGGGTCTCTCAGCCCAGCCTGTGCCCTCTCGCAGTCTGGGACCCCTCAGGGGATGTCCACAGGCCTAAGCTGGTAGTCGGACATCCCCCAAGGGGTCCTTAGCACTGCTGGGGAGGTGGGAGAGGCTCCTGCCACCGCTGCTGCTGCTGCTGCACTCACCAGCCATGAGCCCAGCTTCTGGCTGCACGGCGCTCCCCCTGTGGGAGCACACTGACCACCAGGGGGCAGCTCCTGGGTTGAGTGTCTGCCCTCTGGTGGTTAGTGCACATCATAGCGTCCACTGTCCCGTCGATTTGCATGTTAGCCTTTTATTATATAGGATATCACAAATAAAGAAGGGACAAGAAGTAATACCTACTGTCTACTGTGTGTCAGGCCCTTCACATAACTTAGCTCCTTTAATCACCCCAACAACCCTGTGAGGTAAGTACCACTATCCCCAGTCTACAGATGAGAAAACTTGGGTTCATAGGAGTAAAGTGATTTTCCCAAAATACACCAAGAGAGTGGCAGAGCCAGCATTCAAACCCAGCTCACCACACCATACAGCCTTTTCAGATGCTGCTTCTCTCTTTTCAGGGAGATTTAAGGCTTTGTGAAGGCAGGAAATGGTCTTAGACTATCTTTGGAATCCTATGATAGTCACTATGTTTACAATGCTTGACTGGACTTATGGAATGATAAGATAACTCATGGTTTGAAATCTTGGGAGCCCCTGTCTGGGTTAAATTTCAAGAGACCTCAGGAATCACTGCTGCAGAACAGGTGCTGGAGAAAAGTCAAGGCAGTACCACACAAGGATGTGGTCCAGATGTGTTAGCAACTCTGCTTGGAGCTTTAGGGACATGGGTGAGTTATTATTTTTTAAACTGATTTCAGAGAGGAAAGGAGAGAGGGATAGAAACATTAATGATGAGAGAGAATCATCAATCGGCTGCCTACTGCACAACCCCTACTGGGTGGGGATGGAGCCTGCAACCCAGGCATATACCCTGATCAGAAATCGAACCTTGACCTCCCGGTTCATAGGTTGATGCTCAACCACCTAGCCACACCCACTGGGTGAGAGTGGTATTCTTTTTTTTTTTTTTTAATATCTATTTTATTGATTTTCCACAGAGAGGAACGGAGAGGGATAGAGAGTCAGAAACATCCATGAGAGAGAAACATCCATCAGCTGCCTCCTGCACATCCTCCACTGGGGACGTGCCCGCAACCAAGGCACATGCCCCGGACCGGAATCGAACCTGGGACTCTTCAGTCCACAGGCCGACGCTACAGCCACTGAGCCAAACCGGTCAGGGCGAGAGTGGTATTCTTAATGCCTTGGCCTCTCTAAGCTTCCAGCAAGAAAGGGTGGCTCATTGTACTCACATCATCTGAGTGTGATTCTTCCTCCTCCTTTTCCCCTTCTTCCTCGGGGTCTCCACAGAGGCTGGCTGGTATGTCTGTCAGGCAGGTTCCCTGGGGTATTTCCTCACCCTCAGCCGTGTACACAAGCTCTTCCTGCTCCACAGTCTCTGAATCCTCATACCTGAATGGTACATTGCCGTAGCGTCGGGAGGAGCCTGTCTTGGGGAACTGGAGCTGCAGCTGGGTGATGATGCGAGGGGGCAGGCGGCAGGCCCGGATCAACTCCAAAAAGACCTGCAGGGGCGTCCCCACATTCCCATTGGGCATTAGCACTGGTGGGTTCAGCTCTGGCAGTTGTCTCAGGTCAGCGAGGGTGAAGGCTTCACTCTTAGCCTTCCGACTCTGCAGTTCCTTCCGGGTCTTGAAGGGAAAGGAGCCCAAACCTTGGGAAGCAGAGAGAAGAATGGCTCTTGAAACCTAGAAGCCTCCAGCAACACTTGAGCCAGAAGTCGGTCAAGGTTTAAATCCTTTAGTCCAATGCTGTTCCTCCCTTTCACAATCCCAGAATCCCTTCCTCCATTCCCTGACCAGAACCAACTAGTAATTTCATACCATTTCTCATCGCTTCAGCTGAGCACACGTTTCTTCCAGATCTGGTTCCTGTTGATCTTTTGATCCTCAACTACCACCAACCGTCAGCCCCTGCACACCTTCATATCATGTGCTCCAGCCACATGAAACAATTTAACATGCCCTGAAAGTCTCATGAGCTTTCACATCTCTGTCTGTGTCTTTTCAAATACCATTTACTTTGAACACCATTCTTCCCCACAAACTTATCTTTCTCAAGATCCAGAGGAAAAGCCTGATCCCTATCAGAAATCGGTTTCTCCCTCCTCTATCTTCTCGTAGCACTTGGTGACAAACAGCATAGGCTCTGAAGTAAAATGCTTGGGTTTGTATTGTGATTCTGCCATTTACTAGCTCTGTAACCTTAGGCAAGCAACGTAACTTCCGCACCCCTCAGTTTCCTCACCTATAAAACACGAGTAACAACAGATCCTACCTTATAGTATTGTTGTGAGGAATCAATAAAAAAAAAATGAAAGGCTTAGAATAGTGCACAGTAAGTACACAGGAAGTGCTCAGTAAATATTAACAATGAGAATGGCATCTCTGACAATTACCTTTTTACAAATCTCTGGACTCTGTGCACAAGAATGTGTCCAATTCTCTGCCTACCAGCTAGAGCAGTGGTTCTCAACCTTGGCTGCACATTAGAATTACCTGGGAATCTTTTTAAAATCCTGATTTCTGGGCCTCATCCTCCAGAAATTCTGTTTCTTTGATTCCCAGGTGATTCTAATGTGCAGCCAAGGTTGAGAACCACTGAGCTAGAGGAACACTAGGCCTAACAATATAAGCTAGGTTCGTTGAATGAATTAAAAGGTTCCGCACTGTTTCCTGTTCCCCATCAAAGTGATTTCCAATGAAAACAGGAGCTGTCCTGAGAAAAGAAACTGTCTCTTCATTTGTATCTTGCTAATAGAGGACGGGTGGGGAGCAGGAGGAGAGCGAGATAAAGATAATAAGAGGATTGGAAACCTGACTTTCTTTTTATCCTTCTCTGTCAGTTGAAAATCAACCCCCCAGTAGTTCTCAACCTTCTGGCCCTTTAAATACAGTTCCTCATGTTGTGACCCAACCATAAAATTATTTTCATTGCTACTTCATAACTGTAATGTTGCTACTGTTATGAATCATAATGTAAATATCTGATATGCAGGATAGTCTTAGGCGACCCCTGTGAAAGGGTCGATCGACCGCCAAAGGGGTCGCGACCCAGAGGTTGAGAACCGCTGCATAGAGAAAGGGGGGCTTGCAGGAGGCAGCAGATCAATAATTCTCTCTCATCATTGATGTTTCTCTCTCTCCCTCTTCCTTCCTCTCTGAAATCAATAAAAATATATTTAAAGAGAAAGAGAAACGTGCCTGGTTCCAGGTCCAGTCTATTTATCTTTCCCAGCCGTACCTGCTGCCTCAGTAGGTAGCCGAAGTTTGCGGATGAAACAACGACTGGGCAACCAAGTCCCCTGAGAATCTAGCCACTGGCGGCCGGAATACATGCGAAGAAACTTCTGGGCTTGAGCGGACCCTCGGACGGAGACGACACAGCAGCAGGTGCGGGTCTGGACGGGGACAGAGTCCCGCGTGCGGCCGTCGGTGACTGAAGTCTGGGCAAGACTCTGGCCGGTAGGAGTTAGGGCAGATGCGGGAGTAGCCAGCGGAGGGGCCCGCTCAGGACGGTGCCGGTAATGGAAACAAAGGAAGCCGCAGTCGCTCTGCTCCCGGAACTGGCTGAAGTAGCTCCGCAGCTGGGCCGAGCGCAACTCCGAGGGGATGCCACTCACTATTAAGTAAACGGCCGCATCTTCTTCCGCCTCGCCGGGCACCGCCATCTTGGCCTGTCACGTGATCCACGGAACCAATTCTCGCGAGAACGCCACGAGTGACGCAGCGGGTCCGTGTCACAATTGTGTGATCCTGATCAGGCTGCCGAGGCTGTGGTTGTGGAACCTGGAACTGGAGAGGTGCCGGATAAGTTGTTCGGGTACTTTTTCTGCAGAGAGAAGCCGACGATGATGGGGAAAATCACCTGAGAAGTGAGGTGATTTTCATAAACTCTTGAGAATCAAATTAGAAGCCTGTGGGTGGCGTAGTTTTCAGGATTTTTAGTTTTTGGGGATCTTCCAAACTTAATCTCATTTCTTTATTTCAGAGACTTTAAGGTCGTTCATCCATTTATCTTCCGAGACATATTAGTGGACCTACACAAATCAGTAAGAAAAGATAATCCAGTTGAAAAGTGGTCCGAAGTGTTCAATCTCATTAATCAAGGAAAGGCAATAAGACCCACGTCATATCCACCAGGCTGGCAAAAAGTATTTTAATCCTTACGCGTTGGTGATAATGTGGAGCACATGGAGATACCATACACTGTTGGTGGAAGTATGAACTGGTACAACGACTTTGAAAACAATTTGGCATTGCCCTGTAAAAGTGAAGTTACACATATCTTTTGATCCAGCAATTCCACTTATAAGTATATACTTTAAAGAAATTCTTGCTTATGTTTATCAGGAGATATCCTGACGTTGTTTCACTTTACAAACCCTGTGATCCTGGAAAATAGGGAGGGTTATGAAACCCCTCCCACCCTTTTGTGTTCTGAAACATAGGTTACTGCAAAGAAACACCCTTCTATGAGATAAAACTTATGGGCGCCCCCTTGTTTACCTATGACAATAGAGCAGTGGTTCTCAACCTTCCTAATGCCGCAACCCTTTAATACAGTTCCTCATGTTGTGGTGACCCCCAACCATAAAATTATTTTCGTTGCTACTTCATAACTGTAGTTTTGCTACTGTTATGAATCGTAATGTAAATATCTGATATGCAGGATGTATTTAGGTGACCCCTGTGAAAGGGTCGTTCGACCCCCAAAGGGTCTCGACCCACAGGTTGAGAACCGCTGCAATAGAGAGACTCCAAATTCCAATTCTCACCTCATAAACACTTAGATGGACTGTTTGACCTCACTGATCAATCACAACAAAAGGCTTGTTAAGGCCCTAGCAGGTTTGGCTCAGTGGATAGATAGAGTGTGGGTCTACGGACCAAAGGGTCCCGGGTTCCATTCTGGTCAACGGCACTTACCTTGATTGCAGGCTCCAACCGGCCCTTGGCCCTGGTGGGGGCTGGTGCAGGATCTGTTTCTCTCACATTGATATTTCTGTCTTTCTTTCTCTCTTCCACTCTCTCTAAAAGATCAATGGAAAAATATAAATAAATAATTTTTTAAAAGGCTTGTTAACTAAACTATGGTTAAGCTTTGCTCCTTCCCCCAGGTCCCTGAACTTTGTGACCCCTGAGATCGCCCTCAGCTTGAGTCAGCAAACAACCCCTCCTTAACCAGCCGCTCCAGAGAATAGTCTGGCTTCAGGGTAAACATTCTCTGATCTACTGACCCATCATGCCACTTATGGTCATACCACATCCTCACACCCAGTTCTTTCTAGCCTTGTTTACTCCTCCCTATGAAAGAATAACTTTTTTGCCTAACCCTTGAAACACGTGTAGATCTTATGATCAGAGTGTTCTCCCCTTGCAAAAGCCTCCCTTTTTCTATTGCAATAATCCCTTTCAATAATCATTTCAAATAAAGTCTCTCCTTACTAAGTCCAGATTTGTTTTTATTTGACAGTGTACATGAATATTCATAGCTTCATTGTTTATAAGAAAAAAATATTGGCATTTAGTACTAATAATCTCAGGTATATAATGTTGAGTGGAAATAAGCAAGTCAGAAAACAGTTATTCTATTTATATAAAGATAAAGATTCTATTTTTTTTAAAATATATTTTATTGATTTTTTACAGAGAGGAAGGGAGAGAGATAGAGAGAGTTAGAAACATCGATCAGCTGCCTGCACATCTCCGCTGGGCAAGCAGAGCCTCCAGTCCCGCTCCCCACCCCCCACCCCCACCTACAAACTCCTGCCAAAATGTTAATTAAAAAAAGTGAGATTTTAGCAAAGATTCTATTTGATTAGTGCAGTGGTTCTCAACCTTCTGGCCCTTTAAATACAGTTCCTCATGTTGTGACCCAACCATAAAATTATTTTTGTTTCTACTTCAGAACTGTAATGTTGCTACTGTTATGAATCATAATGTAAATATCTGATATGCAGGATGGTCTTAGGCGATCCCTGTGAAAGGGTCGTTCGACTGCCAAAGGGGTTGTGACCCACAGGTTGAGAACCGCTGGTTTAAGGGCACAGACTGTAAATCCAGACCACCTGAGTTCATATCCTGATTCTATTACTTATTAACTGCAACCTGAGCAAGTTACTTAACATCTCTGTGCCCTGGTTTCTTCATCCATAAAATGAGACAATGATAGTAATTCCAGCACAGAGTTGTTATGAGAATTAAATAACATAATCCATGTAATGTGTTTAAGCACAGCTTTCAATAAATGCTTCGTAGATACCCAGAATGACCAGCAAAGGAATGGGTGATTCCCTTTGTTAATCTTGATTTCTCTCAGAGCTTATCCTTGTCACCTCAACCAGTTTCACTGGGGTTGCCTTTCTCTGCTCCCTTGTTCTGTGACATGGTCTCTGTCTACCATCTCTTGCTGCCCTGGGCCCCAGCGGCCCCAGACCACTTGTAGTTAGCTAAGCACCTTTGCTCTCTGATACGTCTATGCCCTTGCACCTACCATACCCTCTGTCTGGAATGTTCTTCCCTTGATTTTCCTGGCAAACTTCTATTCATTCTCTTTAGGTCAGAGCAGTCACCACTGGGCTGAAGCATTTTCCCCACCTCTTTCTTTCTCTCCACCTCCACCCCCACCCCCACCCCCGCGCCAGGCAGATTTAATCACTTCCTCTTCTTTTTTTTTAAAATATATTTTATTGATTTTTTACAGAGAGGAAGGGAGAGGATAGAGAGTTAGAAACATCGATGAGAGAGAAACATCGATCAGCTGCCTCCTGCACACCTCCTACTGGGGATGTGCCCACAACCAAGGTACATGCCCTTGACTGGAATCGAACCTGGGACCCTTCAGTCCACAGGCCGACGCTCTATCCACTGAGCCAAACCGGTTAGGGCCACTTCCTCTTCTTATCTCCTGCTGCCTGTTGTATTCCTTCTATTACACTTCAGATCATTCTGTGTTACAATTACTACTTATGTGTGTCTCTTTGCCATAGATAGGATGTTCAATGAAATTAGGGACTGTATCTTATTTATTCTGTGTCACTTGGCATCTAGCACAGGGTCTGGCACAAGTGGATGTCAAGAGAAATGTGGAATGATGGAATGATGGATGGATGGTGTGTGCGTGTTGGCTTTTTGTGGCATTATCGATTCTAGGATATGTGACTGTTCCAAGGCCAGGGTGTGTCAGTGCAGGGCACAGCTCACGTCACTGGCTAACTGCTTAATAAGCAGTCAATGATTTGGCTAATGAAGGTAGTGATAATAATAATAAAATAGTACCTGAGGCTGACCCTGCTTCCTAGTGAGTCATCTCTGTCTGGACTTGAGGACAGAGATCAAGGCTGAAAGGTAGATGGTCAGTGAACAGTGGCTGAGCTGGCTCCAGACAGCCTGACCCTGGCCATGACTCACTCCAAGAGCATGATCTCCAGAGTCCCACAGGCCTGTGTTCAAATCCCAGCACAGTGATCTACCCAGACCTTAAGAACATTTTTTAAATTTAATTTTTAAAATATGTTTTTTTTAACGATTTTTCTTTCTTTTTTTAAATGAAGAAAGATGTTAAAATATGTTTTTATTGATTTCAGAGAGAGGAAGGGAGAGGGGGAGAGAGATAGAAACATCAATGATGAGAGAGAATCATTGATCGGCTGCCTCCTGTATCCCCCCTACTGGGGATCAAGTCTGCAACCCAGGCATGTGCTCTAACTGGAAATTGAACCATGACCTCCTAGTACAGTGATGGTGAACCTATGACACGCGTGTCAGAGGTGACACACTAATTCATTTTGGGTGACATGCATCGACAGAGACAAAAAATTGCATAATTCAAATATTTGTCTCTCGCAACGGCCAGAGTTGGGCATCACTCGAGTAATATTATTACTCACGTTACTCATGATTAATAATGCAATTCTAAAACCGGATGTAAACATGTACATCGGTGTTGCGTAGCAAAGATACATAGTGAAAACATCCAAGATACA